CTGTACGGGTTGACCCGATCCTTTATCGGTGACGGCGTAAGCGAAGATTATGAATCCCAACAGCGCCACCAGGACGAAGAACATGACGAAGAGGTAAAACCGCATCAGGATGGTGTTCCTATAGCACGCGCCTGCGAAACCGGCCAAGGATATCACCATGATGCTAGCTCCGATCACGATCAGCGGCCACTGGAGAAACTTGAGGCAGTCGGTGTTGTTGGCACGGCTGCTCAGCCATATGCCCCCGCCTAAGATCGGAATCGATATCAGGAAGGTCAGGAAGTTCACCAGCCCGATTATGTGGTTGCTAGCTCTCATCTTTACAACAACTTAGAAAACTTCTTCAAAACAAAAAAAGAAAGAAAAAGCTCTGCTTTTCTATCTCTGGATTTTGTTTCTTCTTCTTCACTCAGTTTCTAACTTTCTAAGAAATGCTTACAGTTGAGGTTAATTATATAGAGTTGATGGAGTGCCTATATATAGAGGATATAGCAAGACGTGTGCTTGGATTTAATTGGTGCACGTGTTTGCGATGTGGACCGCATGATTGGTTTTAAAATTCATTGATCCAGGGGCCCTAAAGGTTAGTGATTACTTGCATGGGTAGGTTGGTGTATGGGTTAGAATATATATACTGCAACTTACAAGGGGTGTTTCCTGGAATTGGGGGTTTTATGGGGTTTGAGTGAAGTTATGGATTCTGAAAATGATATCATGGACGGTTTGACTGTTAGAAGGAAATTGCTGGGCATATGAGATGTGGATGGTTTTTATTTTTTATTATTTTTTTAACTTTTTGCTTCCTTACCTTAGAAGTTAGTTTGTTTACTCCATCCATTTAAATTTAGTAGTTTTAATTTAATTTTTTAATTTTTTTAAATATAAATTTTACAAAAATTTTAAACTCAGTTAAATATATATTATTTCATCAAAGTCATATGACATCTAAAAAAAAATTCAGATAACATTGACGAAATTACAAATAGATTAAGGACAATTGGAGAAAAATAAAAAATAGATCAAGTTCAATATAAACAGATAAAGGAGGGCAATGAACATTTCACACAAACAATCGCTAGGGAAACAGATTGACAACTTTCTTTGATCGACCGTTCCAAAAATCTAAACACCCTTTCATTTACTTTTGCATAAATGACCCACGTTCTCCAGGATGCCGAGACTGGAACATTAGAGTAAGTAGTGGCTAATCTCGAAATTCTTCATGATTGCCTTGTTGGCCCCTAGATATGAGAAAACTCAAACAAAAAACAAGAAACATAAAGAAAGTAGAGCAAAGGCCACCAACAGAGCCACAAAAGAATTGACAAACCATCTAAAATGATCACCAAACATAGAAGTTAGGTTGACCGACTCCACCATGCTTGAGAAGCCCTTTAACTGCTCAAGCATCAAAAACTCGAGAAGCTCGGAGGCTTCCCAGCACTCAAAAAGGGGTGAGATCTGGAAAGATTTAAGGCAGAGGCTGGAGATTTCTAGAGAAGAGAGAGAAAAGGGAGAGTAAAAATTTGATAATTTAATTTAAACAACAATTGAAATTTTTATTCTATGTATAGTTGTTGTTGAGCATTTAATTTTATTTGACAAAAAATTTTAATTATTATTTATATAATATGTTAAATTTTTATTTAAAATTTTTATTTAAAAAACAAAAAACAAATTAAAATTACTAAATTTAAACCAAAGGATTAATAATGCAACAAATTTGGTCATGGCAAAATTCATAAAGATATCCAATAGTCCTATTCGCATTTAATTTGCACTTACAAAGTAAAGGTGCTTTAAATTAGCTGTCACAATTTTTCTTTAAAAAGTAGTATAATTCTTGTATATGGT